TAAAAAGTTAAAAGACATATTTTTTGAATATGATGCTATGAAAGTTTAATTACTTGTCGAACAATAGTTTGTTGATAATTACGTTCCTTGATTTTTGAAATATTTTCAAATAGTTGTAAGGTAGGAAAGGAAATTTTTTTATAACGTTTTTGATATATGCAATCATTTTATGACAAGTAAATATAAATGCTTTAAATTATTCTAATTTATAGAACTTGGTGATTGATAATTTAACAATATCTCATGCATTCCAATGTTATGTTCTTTATTAATGCAAAAATAAACGTTCCTTGAAACATTACATCTGATCATATGTAAAACAGTGTGTATATTTGTAGTGCTGATGATGATTGCACCGTGTTCAAAATACCAACAACAATTTGTACTAAAAATAAATAATATTTATATGATAAAGTCTAGTTCACTTGACATTGAAAGCGTGCCAGTTGACTTACAACTTTTTACGATATTTATTCTAGAAGTAAAGCTTATCATACTCTGTAGTGAAAAGATAATTTTATTAAATTTATCCCGGTCCCGGACAGCCAAGAATAAACGACTCCGGCCGCGGAAGCCTACCAATTCACTTTCTTCTATTCCAGCAAACTCGCAATGACTCCGCCTGCGCCAGCCAACAAGAAGTTACAATTTCCATGTCACTAGAGGCAAACGACCACCGAAGCAAATTCGCTCCGAAGACTGTTGAACTATTGAAGGAAAGATTCATGAGGAATGCGACAAAACCAGTTCCACGAACTATCAGCAATTCGCAGGAAAGGAACAGCACGCAGTTAGTTTTAGTCTTTCGTATAGTAGAGCGTTAAGCATCAAATATCATTCGAAATTTCAATGAGAGAAAACCTGCAAATGTTGGGGAAGTTTGAAATTGAAAATGTGTCACAGCCCAGTTGTCAACGTATTGTATTTATGTGGACAAAATTCGCTGTATGTCTCAAATTATATTGTAACAAACGCATGTGCACAAAGAAAAAATGAAGAAACGTCCTTGAGAATCCAAAATATGGGAGAACCCGAGTTGGGTTAATTCATATAATTTTTTTTTAATTTGAGAAAGTTTTATCAATTTTGTCGTTGATTGCCTTAGAGCTAAGAAGTACAATTTTTTACAAATTCATTGAACCTGGAATATTTTGACTAATTGACTCTTCTAGTTCAAGTTTGAGTGTTCAGATTGGAATTATATTTCCTCGGAGACTTGCCTGAGCAAATTTAATTGCTCTGAGACTTGGTCCAATCATTTACAGGACAGATACGTATCTTTCAAATATTTTCCCCAGCGTCAAGTGCGTGCATAAACCGTATTAATTTTTAGGGCGTTTTGCCTATTTCTAACAGGTTCTGCAATAATTACATAATCCAAGTTAATAATCTTTAAAGTATTTACTCCGTTACTTCGAACCTGTTGGCAAATGAGGGACTGTCTTCCCAATTCATGAGAAATGAACAAATTTGACTCTTTTATGTTCTAGAATTGAAAAAGAATGTGAGACATTGCTTTGAAAATCTATTTTCGATTAATCCTAGAAAGGCGGCATAGTGCTCTAGTGTTGCCGAACAATTTCATCGGACAAATCGAAAGCAGAATGGTATCATTCCTTCGTGTTATATCCAGAATACCTTCAAAACATTGCCATTTGCAGAAAATACGTGTAGAATTTTTGAAACACAAGTGCAAGGATTGAATTGATTAACACTGATTTAAACAGACAGAACTAAGCAAAACAAACACATAAACATTGAAGATGAATGAAATGCAATGCCATACGTATTTTAGGCTAACAATTGAATCGGATGAGTTTTGTTTTGAGAAATAATTGTAACCAAAATGGTAACATCCAACGCCAAATACTATACTCAAATAAAAGTCCTGATAGAAATTAGATTGCCTTTCCACGAAGTGCTAATGTTTAATACCACCAACTTTATAAAAAATCCCGGGCTGTGATTCTGGTACAATCAAATATTTGCATTTCGTAACAACCCATATTTAACAAGAGCTATTATTTAAATATAGTATTTGACATACTTGTAATCGGCAGCATGAGTAGCAGAGGTTTGTAATTAATTACTGATGCATTCTTAGGTCGTGACGCTATAAATAAGTAATCCACGTGTTGAACTCACAATAGTACAAAATTACACATTCATCAATTCAATTTTGATCTGCAAAAATAGTAGAACTCATCAGAATAGAAAATAATCATTACCATTAGAAGAGATTAATAATAACTTGGTATAAAATATCCACAGTTCAAATTACACAAAACATACAATTACAAAACAAACAACAACTACAAATAAATAATACATTTTGAATTGGTTTTGGATTCGTTATAGGGATAGATCGAAATATAGTAACTGTGGAGCAACATGGGCTTCTGGAATTTTATAGCAAGTGCTTAAAGAAAAAAAAATAGTTTCGTTGGGTAACTTTGATGCGTCCGCACGATTGGTCTTTTTTTCGACTTTCCGCATGCGTCAAGCGCATGCGCATGCACATAGGTACCTTTTCCTGGATTTACTAGGGATTCAGTGGAAGTAGTCATTACAACTTCTCTGGGAGAGAATATAATTTTGTTGACTTCTATGTGATCTGTAAATATTAAATTAACTAATATACACAAACTTAATTGAGATAATGATCCCAGGGTACTGACCCCATATCCGGTTCGAAATACTCCAAACATACGTCTCAAACATTGGTTGCATAGTGATGGGGCATGTGTCTTGTTGCTGTATTTAACTATGTAGAGCAGTGATTGCCAACTCAATGCTCTGAGACGATACAGAACTCTGCTCTCCTGTTCCGAGTCGAGCAAAGGAAGTGCCCGACACGGCGGCAGGCGCACAGAATCCCAATAACGGTACAAAAGTGGGGGACGGTTTCCTTGAAAAATCGATAATTAACGTTTATTAACGTTAATTATTGATTATTTCACACCTAATTTCATTTGAAAATGAAAATCCTCGTGATTTTATGCACCTTTTTAATAATTTTCTATCTGCAAAATCCTTTACTCATTTAATGATTGGAGGCTATCTGTAAAATTTCAGAATGTATTTTTGTAAATCAGGATCTGAGGGTTGCAAATGCCTCTGTAGGTTGAGCTTTTTAACATACTTCAGTTCTTTCGAACACACTAAACAATTCGCCTTTGTTCCAGTGCCTACGAGTATAAAATGAAAAGTATATTCCCAATTATAAAGAAAATGAACGGGCGTAGAAGGTCTCTCACGCATATTACCTGACACACCGGCAATGGCCCACTGCCACGATTTTCGGCGCCAGCGACCGCCGTCTGCACCATCCCTTCCTC